TACCATTTTCTACTCATTAATTGAGTTCAGGAATCCCATCTCGTCTGAGATAGCCGCTGAAGAATCCTTCTCCGTGCGCAGGCAATGACTCCTTGGGGCATTGAGAGTGTGTGCCAGCCTTGGCTTAACAGCGACAGCTTTGTTTGCAACCAGTAAGAATACAGCTGTAAGGGCCCCCTCTGGATGGTTGTTAAATGGAAGTATTCCTCACAAGGTCATTGCCATCCACATCTATGTAATATAAATCACAGGCTGCAAGATTGACGGGCAGTAGTTACATGGACGTGATATGTGGCTGTTTGATACTTACTCAGTTCCTGTCGTTTCATGTCAAGTGTACTGGAGAGTATTGGCGTGGCCCAGCATGTCAATTTGAAAGTGCATGTAATCACTGTATCCCGATAGATATCTGCAGAGATAAATAGCTCATTGCCTCTGATCCATTGTGGAGAATCTTTGGAAAGATGGGTGTTGCTCATGGGTTGTAGTGGGTGACATTGAAATATGTGAGATGAGAGTCAATGGCATCTTTAAAAGGGTCTCTTTCATCCTGTCAATTCACAGTAAGACAGAACACTCCAAGATAGGGGACAGGCAATAGTGACTATAAGAAGAGATGACCAATTTAGATTAAAGCTGATCAATCCAGTGACCTGGGAGGCTGTAGTGAATTTACTATGTAAATAATGTACCAGACTCTGTTTTCTTGTTCCCGCTTGCAAGGCGATCAAAGCTAATACGCTATAATTCCATGGCTGCATTGAGCTTCAGCCTTGAGATTCACAGCTATAGGTGCAGTGAGTGCAGTGAGAGTCACGGGCAGACGTGATTTGCCCACCTCATGTAGCATGATACAGCTGAGAGTCGGTGACAAATGAGCACATTATGAAAAGCTTCATTCTAGTGGCTTTGTTCTTGGTGTTCAGCTCCTCTCTACCATCTGATTGACTTTCAATTTCTTTGAAAAATAAGGGATTAGTTCCTGTGTCTTAAGTAAGATTAATGAGTTCTCTGCCTCTTCTTAGCATAAACCTTTGTGAATTGTGGGTAGAAAAAAAGAGATGTTAGCTTTTAATTTTGCAATTTGCAGGGATTCTGAATATTATTTAGTTATTCAGGCTCATTAACTGTAAGCTTTACCAGTACAACCAGCCTTGCTGTCCTTTCTCACAGGCTGTATTGCAGCATCTTAATCTTGGCTGGACTTGCACAAAGGTGCTTTAGGTAATGTATTAGTGCTCAACCACCCCAAGGCACTCTTAATTAAATGCCCCATGCTTGTTTCCTTCCTGCAAGTGTTGGTGTCAGAGAGGAGAAAAGCTCCCTTTCTCGTGTCCTGCACCTCTTTTCTCCGTCGGGTACAGCAGGCAGACAGGTGGCTGTGCTCGGTGGATCACACATAGCTTTCTTACGGACAGAAAGGTGGGAAAGAAGGTGAGAGTTTGAAGGAGAAAAAAGGCAGAAGGAGCGACAGCAACAGACAGATGGGTTCTAGTGATGGCTCGTTCACACACTAAATGTAGTTTTGCGTATCTCCAGACACCAATATTAAAATGAAATGTGGTTAGACTTTTCAGAGAAATAGTATGTGTAGAGCTTCAATGATTAATCAATTCATCGAGTGGTGGATCATTTTTTTACAAATATTCTCTGGTTTCATCTCCTCAAATGTGAGAATTTGTAGATTTTGTCATATACGACAGAAAGTTGAATATCTTTAGGTTTTGGACTGTTGGTCCACAAAAAAGAGGCATACTGTATCATCGAGGGCTTGGAGAACACATTCGTGTGTCGTGTCTTTGAGGGTTGGTCTGTTGCCCAGCGATTTGACCTCTCTGTACAAGGAGGGTTGAGGTCAGAGTGGGAAGGTTTGGATGTTAGCCAAAGATGCACTGAGCATTGAACACTTGTGCTACAGTTTTGCAGACCTGTATTGTGTGTTTGGCTACATGGATATATTTAAACTGAGTGATCACGTTAAACAATTAAGCTGACAGAAAGTTACCACACTACCACACAACCCCCCAAAAAAGTCTTAGGAGGCTTGTGTGGTTTTCCCCAACACACTACAACACGAGGCTAGCGTTTTCAGATTGATCCACTTTTGGGTGGTTTGCATTTTTTCTTGGGTGTACTCCTTGTTTTAGTTCTGCTTTATGCCTCTCGTCTTTTAGTTTTGTGCGGATTATAAATTGTTTTAGTCACAATTTTTTTTCAGTCTTGATACACAGTAGCTCTTTCCAGTTATTCTTCTTCGGCTTCTCTTTCTTTCTTAATCCCTCACAGACACTTCTATTCTTGTAAACCTTTTTCCAGACACTCACCTCTGTCCCGAATGCCTTTGCTGCTCGTTCCCTTTGTACAGTCCACCCCTGATAATTGGAATGGGTTTTATCCTCCTGAAAGACATTAAAGTGTCACTGCAAGAGCACACACTAGCTAATTAATAGAGCTTGTTTGAAACTTCTGGTTCCCAGCTTGCACACCCTCCACCCTGAGCAAGCACCGCTGCCTGTGCTGGAAAAAGACACTACAAAACACTACTCTAAGACATGCTGTACCGCTTTTTAAATATTTCCATAAAAGGCAGCAGGGATCTCACTCTTTCATTATTACAGCCAGTCTCACAGAGTGCATGGAAGTGTATGGTATAGAATCATATTCTGCATACGTGTAGCAAATTATGACCTGAGTGGTACTTTCTAAATGTCACCCTGTGTCTAAAGGATGGTTTGAGGATGAAAGTTGAGGAGCTGGCTGCTAGCCGTCACAGGGCTATGACTAACTCCTGGTGTCACGGCTGATTAAGTGAGTGTGGAGGTTAGATGACTTACCGGGCCACATGACTGTCAGCCCGTAACAGGACCGCATGCCACGCTCAGAGGTCTCCTTTAGACACGCTCATGCTAGTTGCCAGAGAGGCGCAATCAATTGGAGATGCGATGTGAACAGCAGGAGGTGGAGACACATGAGGAGGCCTCTCTATCTTCACCTGGCTCCAGTGACTTTATGCCTGGCCATGAAATGTCCCCTAGTTGGTTTTTTATGCCTGGTGTTTCAGGGAAAAACAGCTGGAAGGCAGTTCCACACTGGGCGAATGAGTTTTATTCACATGTGGTGTATTACCTTCCCTTTTTAAAGCAGTAGATGGAGTGTTTTAACATCCGTATTGATACCACATTGAAATTTAGTATGAACAAGGTATGGAAAATTTATTTTAATAGCAGGTCACGCACAATCAAATTGCTTTACATAAAAAAAATCAAAAACATAATAGACAAAATACAACCTAAAACACATATCAAAAGGATAGAAATCTGAGATCAGAGAAATCAAAACTGATTCTAAACTGAAGGAGTAAAAAGAAGTTCAGGATGTGAGTTCAAGATTAATGATGAACGCTAAAGATTCAATCAACATGGATTTAAATCAAACTAGTAGTTGTAGTCACGGCAAGTCTTGTGTCTTCTGGAAGTTCAACACATGTTTTGGTACTGAACCAGAGAGATTTATAAGACAAGCAAGCCGCTGTACAACTGGTGCTACCAGGTCCATTTTTGTGACTGGTGGAAATTGATTGATAGACTATGGTGGAAAATGGATGTAGCTTTATAGTACAAAACATGAACAAACTGTCAGATGATGTGTGAAGGAGTGAATGGCCATGGGGAAAAATTCTCATGACATATTTATTGTCTTCCACAGCCCAATCTTTAGTTAATTATGTCTTATGTTAGTGTTTAAAAATGCTACCCATAATATTGTTGCAGCATGAGGGGTGCACAAAGTGCAGTACATACTGGGCCAGGCCACTGCAACCCAAATGATTTCACTAAGTCAACACTGATCTCTTTTAGATTAATACAATATTTCCTTTTACAGTGGTAGAATAATAACGAGGACGTTTTGGAATTAATGAGTTGTGGAAGAGAGGAACAAAGGTGGTTGGATTAGGGAGCAGCTAAATAAAAGGGTAATTTCAGGGTTTGGCCCCAAGCAGACCGAGGACTGTTGCAATATCCCAGCACATCAACCCCTTATCGTTATTCTGCAGCTAAGCTTTGCCTTGTTGGCATGCATGCAGGGTAGAGTTTGGCATTGGACAAGAACATAATAGTGCAGTGCAGGGAAGGCAGCAAGACATGAAGGGGAGATGGTAAAAAAAAAAACCACACGTTATCCTCATTGACCAGCCAAAAGACGTGGCCTGCTACTGCATCTGTTGTCTACACAATCCCCAGGCCAGAACAAGGGCATCTTTTTGTTTATCACCTCGTGACTCCAATATGGACACAGAGTACAGAACTTGCCCTATGAACCTAATATGTAGCTGCCTTCTGCTTGGGGTTTGTCCAACTAAAAAGAAAAGAAGAATACAGATGATGGTTCCAAGCTGGGAAATAGATGTCCAAAAATACTGAAGTGGCTGCCCCATCAGTTTTATTTTACGTGAAAATTAAATTAGCATCACTGACTTGCTGGAAAAGTCTGCACTTGATTTAATCAATATGTTTTGATGAGTTCAGTAGCTATAGCACTCTCTTTCTGTCCCTTTTATTGACGGGGACACAATATTCCCAATATTCCTTTAACAAATGAAAAGTTGAATTAATAAGCATTGTTGTGTTCAGTGGCTTATTGTGGCTAATGTCCCAGAACATTTTACTCAGGTCAGGTGACGTCTTTAAAGCAACCGACTCAAGAACGTTTTATGAAATGAAATGCAATTATCCTGAAATAACCCTGGTTCAGCAAAAGTTACACAGTCTCACTTTAAACAGTTTTACAAATTAAGTCTCAAGCGGCTGCCTATGCGAACAGCCAGTAAATGGCTTGACCGTCAAAGGACACAGAGGACTTAGTATGAGGCTTTATGTTAAACCACCACCACCTCATTCAAACTTGGAGGCACTGTGGGTTTATGTCCAATTCTCATCTTTTTGAGCAATTTGCCGTCAAAGTTTGTAATTAATTCCATCTCCCCTGTTGTCTTCTTACAGCATTCACCATGATGATCATCTTGGCTCTCATCCGCATTGGTAAAGGCACCGGCGAGGGCCACCCGCCAGTCGCCTCCTTCTCTGGGGTGCCCAACCTGTTCGGGGTGTGCGTCTACTCCTTCATGTGTCAACACTCCCTGCCCTCCCTTGTGACACCCATCTCTGACAAGAAACGTGTCGGCACCCTGGTGTTTGCGGACTACACCCTGATCCTGGGCTTCTACGTCCTCCTCTCATTCACCGCCATCTTCTGCTTTGACAGCTCACTGCTGCACGACATGTACACCCTGAACTTCACGGACAACTGCAACGTGTTGGATATTCCATTCCTGCGTTACTTCCTGGGCCTGTTCCCAGTTTTCACCATCAGCACCAACTTCCCAATCATTGCCGTCACACTTCGCAACAACTGGAAGACCCTATTCCACCGGGATGGCGGCACCTACCCGTGGGTGGTGGACCGTGTCGTGTTTCCCCTCATTACCCTGGTGCCCCCGATCGTGGTGGCCTTCTGCACCCACAATTTGGAGTCCCTGGTGGGCATTACAGGATCCTATGCTGGCACAGGAATCCAGTACATTATCCCAGCCTGCCTTGTTTATTACGCTAGACGTCATCTGGAGCCCGTGATGGGCAGGGATGCCGTCAACAAGCACCGGTCTCCCTTCCGCCATGCCTTTTGGGTGTGGTTTGTTTTATTGTGGGCCGCCTCCTGCCTCATATTTGTTACAGTCAACATTATCCTGACTGACAACAAGTTATGAGAAGTCACTGTTCCAAGAACTGTCTTTAAAAAAAAAAAAATGTATATCTGTCTGGCCAGTCTCTGTATTCCTGTACACGAGGCCTTACTTGCTGCTGGTTGGACAGTGTGCCTTTTTATGGGACTTTTGTTGCATAATATATGTAATTAAGAGTAATTTATCAAATTTGTTAAAAGGGACCAAGTCGAGTTTTTTTTTGTTCTGTCAAAAAAGTTGGAACAGTGCATGACAACAATGAAAGGGAATTGAAAAGGGCCATTTTGCAAACAAACACACATATGAACACTTTTTAAAACGATATCTTAAGGGTTCAGTATGCTTCAAACAATCTAGTTCATACTAAGTGTAGCATGATCAGATACACACCATAATGTTGGCTTGCTTGTCGCATTGTTTTCAAAAGTTACAAAACTTGTTGGATGCGACTCCTGCTTCTGTCATTATAAAGTTTCAGGGATTCTGACATTATAAAGGTTCAGGGCAGGGTTGTCAGACACTGGTTGACAGTCCAACAAACACTTTGTTTGAAGGAGACTGAAGCCTTAAGAGATCTGCGGGTTCTCCATCCTGTAGTTCTTTATTTTAGTATGCCTCGTTCAAATCCCAGTCTATAAAAAAAGGTATACGGTGTCAAGATGGTGAGGGATCCAATGGACCTTCAGCGCAGAATGTTCCAATAAAAATATATGAAAGCAATTTAGAGAGCAGAGTAGCAACAAGAAAAAGAGCCTGTCACATCCAGACTGGTGTTCTGTTGCTAAACTGCTTGGCATCTACACAGCCTGATAATCAAATTGGATCAGAAACCAACAGAAGAAGAAAAAGGAGTGAAACCAGGCGTGATCTGTCTTTCAGGGCTGATGTGTATGTATTCCTCAGCCCAGGCTGCCTCCGATCTCCTCTTCCCCTTGTGAGGGATGGAGCTCCGTCCGTGACAGATCCACTGACAGATAGGCCTCCAGGAAGAGCTCCATCTCTGTTTATCACCTGGCACTCGCTCCTGTAGTTCACACAACGGTCATGTCTCCCATCTTACTGCTCAGCACCCATTCATAGCTCTGTCAGCCTCATACTGTATCCATCACACAGCCCAACACCTGACAGGATAAAAGTGATCTACAATGTTTCAGCTCCGGATGTGGGGAAGGCATCAGTGGCCAAAAGTGAAGTGACGTAACTGCCACTGTACTAGTAATGCTGATTTCTCTGACACTTGGCAGCTTCCTCTCTTGAGTTGTGCCTATGTTGATGGACTTCTGCCTCTTATTTTGATTTTATGATTTTTATAATTAATTATTATTAGTGAAATGCTTCTTTAAGGGTTGGTTCAAGTACATAAAACCATGAGGGACATTTGTTTGTGTCTTAGTGGAAACCGTGTCCATGTTTCTCTGAATAATCCACAGATTGTAGACTGGTGTCATGGGGACTGTTTCTTCTGTAGAAAGTTGTTTCCCCTGAAAACTGTTCATTCTGGGGTCTGTGGATTATCCAAAGTAACAAGGGAAATTTCTCCAGAAAGAAATATTGCTTTTCAGAAATAAAATTTTATTCCGCTCCACTGTAATTGGGTGGGGGTAGAAATCTCAGAGACAGATCTCAAAACCTGGACAAATAAAACCCGGTAAACCACTAAAGGTTTGTTTGTTTGCAATGTGGATAAAATTACCAAATTTAAATGTAGGGTTGTCCATTAGTGTTGCTTCACCAAACTTCAGGATGTTGTTGGATTTACATAGCTCCAGTCAACAGTTTAATCAAATGCTGTGTCCAATATCACCACCCTGAGTTTATGCTCTGTTTAGTGCCGTCAGAAATTATTCATTCCATTCATTCCTCTATGGAATGGAAATATGTAGATACCAAAACACAGCGATGGTGAAAAATGAGTCCGAAATCTCATTTTACTGCTCACTGCAGAGCGAACTGCAAAATGTGTTTATGATGTAGGGAACGCTGAATAAGTGAACGGACGATTTCAGGCACAGACGCAGCTTCAAAACTCAATGTATATTAAACAGCAGGTAACCATAGCAACAACAATACTTCTGCTTTATGTTGCCTTACCGGTCAACTCGTAGTGGTCTGACAGAACTAATATGTTGAAGTGTGAATGGATATATGCGCAATGGCACAGTCAAGTTTCGGATCAAGAGTCTAACTGACTCAGCGGAAGAAACGCCACTCTGCAGAGCGTTTTCGCCTCCGCCTTGCCCATTATTTGTTTATATCATCAACATCTTGGTTGTCGAAATGTGAAAAATGTTATGCTTGTCTGCAAAGCTGCTTTATGGTTTAGTGACACAGCATTTCGGAGCTCATTTGACCTGTTGACATGACGTATTCAGCAACAAATCCACTTTACAAACAGCTAATTTTTTTATCTAAATGTTTCTTCTGAAAGCATCCATAATCATGTGGTCACGCTCCATCTTTACCTCAGGTCAGATATGGTAAATGTTTATCACAATCGTCACCCAGCTTGTCCCTTAAATGTCAAGATTTATGCTGTTACCACGAATCAGAGCTTTAGGGTGCGCTTTTTATCCTTTTACACCAAAATTAGCACATATGTGCATTAAACATAGGTAAACTTGTTAAAAATAGGGTCCTTTCACATTGCCAGTATGAGTTTGTCTTTGAAAAGTCCACCCGGGTGTCATATTGACATCAATGCAAATACCCATGACTACTGCAGAGTCTGTTGACCTGGAAGTGAATGCCGACTGTACCCTGTCACACAGAAGACGAATGCCAGATGTTAGCAGGTGTAAGGGTTTTTTTTGTCCAGCATAAACGGGTCTTAATTGTGGTAAAAGGGACACACACAGTCATCCACACAGCAACACAACACTTTTTTTTTTTTTTTTCACACCTTTGTATTTAAATGCCAATACAGTTGTCGTCAATTAAAATGCAAAGTCTGTATTAGGGTGTACAGTAGTTCAGTGGCTTGTGGAGCAGTTAGGGAGGTTGTGCAGCTTTTTCATCAACTCCTGTAATGCAGTTTAAATTGAAAGGTAATGTCCTGTGACTGGAGTATTTTTAAGGTACTGCAACTCCATGATTTCTACTCGTGAATTTTAGACTTACTGGAGCACTGTTGAAGGTTATAGAGGTGCCTCTGCTTTGTGGTGTTGTCAACTTTATTGTCACCACACGACTGTTTATCTTGTTTAAACTGCTTCTGTCTTTCTGCACCTGTCAGTATTTGTCAAATTGGAGTGGAAATGGACGGATCAGTAACAGTCCCTGTACGGCAGAGGCACATAAAACATCATCATAATGTCATTTATTTGTTTACGTTCCCACTTTTGTGCCGTTTCGTTTTCGTTCTCCCATATTCTGATGTTTCAGGTCTTTTTCTCCTCTACACCTGAAGTTGAACCATCCGAATGCAAAGTACAGCCATTTTAACAATAGATAGATTTTCATAATTCAATCTGAAGACAAAGTAGTACACAAGTGTGTGTGTGTGTGTGTGTGTGTGTGTGTGTGTGTGTGTGTGTGAGAGAGAGAGAGAGATTGTGCGTCTGTGTGAGTGAATGATTAGATATTGAATATTTTAAATGTTTTTCTGATGACTCCTGTTTGGAGTTGTGAAACGTGCCTTTTTTATGGGGTCATTTTATTGCCCTAAACATATCGACTGCTGGCTTCTCATCTTGTGAAAAGCAGCTTGGCAGACAACATCTGCATGTAAGCAGTTTCATTTAACTGATAATCCATGTTGTTTTTTCTTTTATTTCTGTTCTTCTTCTGTTACGTGGGATGCCCCTGAGTTTACTGTATTTCTGATAATCATTTTAGTTTCTAATTTTTCCTCCATGTTTCTGGTGATTGTTTACAATAATTTGCCCAGCATGTGATTCAATCATTTTATGGATGTTTACTGATTTAATTGATGTTCGGATTGATTTTTATGATTCACAAAGAAAATAAAGGCTCAGTTTCTTAAATGAAAATTTGGATTTTCTTACAACCCGGGTCTTCTTTTGTAGTTTTTGCCCTCATGCCTATCATTTACAGTGGAGAGAATATGGTCACAAGGACTCTGCCACACATTTAAAATCCATTAATCAAGTCCAGTTAGCTGCTAATTGCATTGCCTAGCCATACTATATGGCCAAAGTTGTGTGTGGACACATCTTCCTACATACATTTGTGTACAGTCTGGACCTATTTTTCCTGGTTTGGACTAGACCCCTTAGTTGCAGTGAAGAGAACACAGTGATATTATTACTGTTCTAACAGTTTGTGTTTGTCCCACGACAATGTCCCCGTGCACAAGAACTAGTTTTCCCAGTTGGTGTGGAAGAACGTGACTGACCTTGACCCCATCCAACACTTTGAGGATGAACTGGAACACGGGCTTTGAGCCAGACCTTATCATCCAACATCATTAATGTGCTTGTTTCTGAATGGGAATTAATCCCCGCAGCCAGGTTCAACATCTGGATCAAAGCCTGAAACCAGAAGAGTGGAGGCTGTTACTCCAGCAGATTAAAGCACATAGTGTCTGAATGACATGTTCAACATTCACATAGGATCATATAGAGTACTTTCTGGTTAAACCTGCAGGAAGGTTGTCCCATACTTAATTTAAATAGTTTTGTGAATAGTGGTACAACAAAAGTCTCATATTTAGTCTACAAGCATTACAGGCCAGTGAATAATAAGAGATGGCATGTTATGTAAAGTGGAGCCACATACTGATCCGCTATGATCCGCACATCTCCATTTGTTTTTAATCACAAATTAGTTAAGTTAAGGGAGACCGTCAAAACCTGTTCACTGGTTCCTTGGCCTATGGTTTCACTTTCAACATTTCATAAAAATGTTTTTACTAGTTTCTGAGATATCCTGCAAACTTACAGACGAACAGGACTAAACCCATTAACCTCTTTGGCTGAGGAAATCTATTAAGTGACTGAGATGATTAAAAGCCTGTCAGAGTTTCAGGCCATTGCCTGAGTTGACTCCATATGTGAAGCTGTGTTCAGCTGTGGCCTAAGACCAGTAAAGCTGCTAAATAACAGTTTCATAACCAGCAGGCTAGACGGCAAAAACTATTAAATATGACCCAGGTTGCAAAAATTAAAGCTTCCTTTAATATTCAATAAATCTAATTAAACGCTGAACATTAGAGTTCTGTTATTACAGCAGGACAAAATGATTTCTTTCACCTCTTAAATGACAAATCACTTTCTGGCCTGTTTCCAAACTGCTTGTTTTGATAAACAAATCCAGTTATTTCCTGGTGCCTGTGGACTTTCCTGGGAATTGAATGCATGAATCAGAGCAGCTTTGCTGTTACTTTAGTCATATTGTGTTCTTCTATTCGGGCATACTCCTACACAATTTATCAGACTCACGGTTGGCAGTATTTGTATCTGCTCTCTAGGTAATTGGCATCTTTTTTTTACACCTCCGTTCACCTCAATCTTTCCTGAAGCACCTCAGTAGTCTTTTTATTGACATACGAGATCGCTGTTTTTATTATCAAACCAAACCTCCCCCTGTGAATTTCCAATCTCAGCAGGGCTGCTCTGGTGTAATTGAATTTACCCTCTGCCCTTTTCTGTATGTGGGGTGTGTCTGCATGTTTGGGGGTAGAGCTATAATTGGAAATGCAAACTTGGCATGGCTTAATTAATTCACAGTGTGTTTAATTGCTGCATGGTTTATAGAGTGCAGTTACGCAGTCTGGAAGAGAGAGCAGGTGCTGGCTGCTGTTTGTTTGCAGATATTTGATGTCCCGGGGAGAAATTTTTGGTTTGTTTTTTTTTAAACTCCTCGCTTCATCAGCATCTATGAAAACTTATCAAAAAATGCAATCAGGCAGATGTGTTGAAGCAGCAACTAGATCAGATTATCTGCAGAATTAAACTCTTTCATTAATGAGCTGATATTGATGGGAGTATGTCTGTTTCCATATTCACTTTAATATCTCCTTGTATTTAATCCATTTTACATTATCTTTAGAAATGTTTCTACCGTACATTATTGCTTGCGTTATTTTTCAATATAAATTTAGTAAGAACACTGCTTATTATGCACATTTTTATTTTCATTTTCTGCAGTACTTGAGATTAGTGCTCTGATTGCATGACTTTTCAGATTAATACTTGTGTGTTTTAAAAGGTGTAGCTTTCTAACCTCACAACATTACCAATACCATCTTTATTTTTGAGGATTTTCTATCTTTACCAACCTTTAGACTGGATTCAACATTTTGTGTCTGAGGGAGGAATACATGTTTGATTGCTTTACGGCTCAGAAGAACAAGAAGGTCTTGTGATTTGTTAATTTAATTTATTTACTTAATTTAATAAAATAAAGTTAACATTTAGCATGTTCAGGCTACAGTGAAGATGACAAGCTGTCCACCAAAACATGATAGACAGACCAGTTAATGTGATTGTGAACGTACGGTATTACCTTGCCATGATTCAGGGATGGCAAAAACTGTCTGACTTTAATGATAACCTCACTTTACCTCTTGCACCACAAGCAGTCCAAAGTTCTTCTTTGGACAGATATACATTTGATCCACTGAATTTTCTTGTAGCGCCACCATGAGGTTGACTTTCAGTTATGGATTCCCATGAAATTTGGTACCGTGTCCCCCTCAGGATGAATTGTACTTCGGAGACCTTGACTTGCCATCATTAAATCAAGCCAATTTTATTTATCTGCACAACGGCCAGAACCCCCTATCCTAAGACCCTCTAAATCTGAAACTCTCTCAAATTGTGATGAGCATTTCAAAGTTGTATTGCTGCAGTTGAAGAAAAAACATGCCAATTAGAGCATTCTTAGGTGGGACTAATGGCGCCGTCAGACTGGATTTTGCTTCCCATTCATTTCTGTGTGAAACAGGGCGAGACTCATTTGCTTCCGGTCATGATTTGAAACTGCCTTTTTCCCTTTGTGCAGAGTTTAATCAGACAGAATGTTGACACGTGAAATCACAAGGCTCTCTAATGTCCAGCTAATCAGGTCAAAAATTTCATTTGCCCAAAATTTTATTTATGACAAAATGCCTGCTAAACTAATGACATTCCCATCAGCCTGTAAGGAAATATGACTTCTTTTTTTTTTTTTTTTTTGGTGACTGATGGACATCAGAGGTATACTGAACTTTTACAAATCAAATCATCAAATGAACTTCTGCTAAAGTGTGATGTGGGTCATGGTATCCTGCTGGTACGGGAAAACCAACACCCTTTCTGTCTTTTTATCGCTTGCTGTTCTTTATTTGTATTTCATCAAACTGTTTCTGTTTGTTTGTTTCTTCTATTGCCTTTTGCTATTTATTATTGATATATTTACATATTGTTATTCTGTTCTTGTTTTGTTAAGCTCTTTGGGCTGCATCTTTGCATGAAATGTCATAGACAAATTAAGTTATCATTATTATTTTACCTCCATATCACACCATCGTTAATCTAGATCATCATGGTTTTCTTTCTTTGCTGTTTTGAAATTGCTGCCAGTTTGCTGCTGCTGCCACATTTTCCCACTGAAAAGTCTTTACTGGAAGTCTGTAGAGCCTGTTGGATGGTCAGAGAACAACCCCCTGGTTTGTCCTTGGGAGGAAACAGTAACACACACACTGTACCATCTGCAGTCCAGTCCATTCTAGGCCAGAGCTTTATTACTCGATTTATTTACTCTGCCTGCTTCAGGTCTACTGCTGCCCTGCTCACCCCCACAGGTGAGCCCCGGCAGTGGAGGCGATTATGACTCTATCAACTGGCCTTATTAAGTGTCAGCAGCAGCAGGACACTGTGGCCGCTGCAGATCTTAGTCACAGCCTGCGCAGAAGGAAATCGGACACAGAGCGCCAGTTGAGGCCGCTCACCGCTCATTAACAGGTCGCGTGTTTCCTCGGTCTGCTGTCGTGCTATACAACCATCATGGCTGAAAGGTTGGGCTGACCTTCGCACTGCCTCACTAATGGGAGTCATTTCAGGCAGCGGTAGTAAACACAGTGGTTACAAGATAAGACGTGAATGCATTAAAGCAATGTCACGGGCTTGTTTTACTGTCACTATTACTAAGTACCCAAAAGAAAGAGCAAAATCGAAGAGAAGCATGAAAAGTAGCAAATTACTTTGTTAGTTTCCAACATCATTCACATTTAGTATGTCCCTGCCTGAGGTTTTTAGCACATTACTGGCCAGGTGTAGTCTCGTCCTGAACTGACAGATGGCTTTCTTTTATTCCAGACAGATGCTTCCCTTTTTTTAATGACCTCTTTTTTTCCCTCCCTCATGCCTCGCTGCTGTGAGGTTCATTAGCACAGACAGGGCTTAGAAGCAGTCTTGGGAAGAGATTAGGGTCACAGTATTTTAGGGATGGTAGCCAAGCGCTGACCGAGCTGCTCTGACAGCCTGAGCATCACGCAAGACAGAAGTGGCTGTTGGTTCCTGTTTATAGGAGACAAACTCTTAACTCAAAACAATACCTTTTGGACAGAAGGGAAGTCATTGTTTCTGGTTCATTCTTAAGTCCATCCATGTTTGCTGTGGAGGAGGGAGTTCAGTGCGCTGCTTTTTTGATTTTCCACCAACATCCACACATAGTAGGCTACATTTCTTTTCCAACCCACAAATAATATAATACGATTTTTGTAAAATGAGTTTTGGATCTTTCCTCCTTTATTTCCCATGGCCTATATGTATTATGGTCAGTAGCCGTGTTTCCATCTAACTGTCAAAGGAATTTTAAGTGAACTTTAAAATGTCCCATTTGGAGGGAATAAACTAGGCGAAGCAAAGCGTAGTTTCGTCAGAAGTTGACGTTACACAACGGCTGTGACAAACAAGAAGTAGAGGTTGCAAACCAGAAACAGAAACCAGTCGAATGAACCATGGATCTGAGAAAAATGCGGAGAGGTCTTCAGGAATGTGTTTCAACAGGCGATGTTGTAGTTGTTTTTTCATGTCAGCTAGTATTGGTCA